TCCACCGCCTCTCCTACAACCTCAACCTTCAAGGTTCTGCCCTTGACTGGTTCAGGTCCTACCTTTAACACCGCCTCCACTTCGTCACGGCAAACGGCTTCTCCTCCAGCCCCCGTACTATCTCGTGTGGTGTTCCTCAGGGCTCTGTCCTCAGTCCCCTCCTCTTCACCCTCTACATGCTCCCCCTTGATGATTTCATCCGCAGACATGGGGTAAATTTCCACATGTATGCGGATGACACCCAACTCTACCTCTCTGCCTCCACCCTGAACTCCAGGACTGCTGGCATCCGACATCAAGTCCTGGACGAGGGACAACTTTCTCCAACTCAACGTCAGTACATTAATGCAAGAGAATCAACTCAGTGTGGTTTCCTCCCCTCTTTCCCCATTCTCACGGATACATACACACACTCACGCACACGTATTGTGTAGTTAATGTAAAACTTACATAAAAACTTAATAAACAAAACTTACATTTGGTATAGTGCCTTTCACATTGGGAGGACATCTCAACGTGCTTCACAGGATATATTCTAAAATGGAATGATTGTTTTTGTGGGCAAACGTGGCAGCCAAGTTGCACACAGCAATGTCTGCAAACATCCATGAAGTAGATGACCAATTTTATCTGGACGATTGTGATTAGGACACCGAGAGAAACTCCCTTCTTTGCAAGCATTGCCCGATCTAAAAAAACTGAAGACTAAAGTAATGTGAGAACATTAGATATTAGAATAACATGCTTATAGTTTCATTACTAGAGTGAAGATAGGATGAGATAGACATCATATCGAATGCTAATATTTGCTTTTATATAGTGATAATTCCATGTTCAGTACAAGATGCAGTTCAACATATTCCACATTTACTTAGCACCACCTTCTGTCTAGTGAGAGAAAGGTTTTGCAAAGCATCTCGCTCTCTTTTTTGAAGGTAAAGCAAGCAAACCTCCAGAAAGCCTATCAATTTTTAAATCCTATATTTTCATCCAGGACCAGATTTTTTCCTGTGAAGATGCATTACTCATTCCCATGTTCTCAGGTAGATAGATGCACATATCATCACACCACAAATCTCCTTCCCAATTATTCTGCATTTGTGTTTTGCAGGATGCACTACCAAACAGTAGCATAATAGCACCGACTATAAATTGGTGCAAGGATTATTATTATTATAAGTTGTTTTGTGTGTTTTGACACTTGCATATATTATCACCGACTATAAATTAGTGCAAGGATTATTATTATTATAAGTTGTTTTATGTGTTTTGACACTTGCATTCATTGCAAACACTCAAAGTCTAGTGAAAGAGCAGCAAAACATGACTTTCAATTTTTTTCTGTTGCTTTCTTTCCATTTGTACTCAAAGTTCAATTTGAGTCCGATAACTTTTCTCAGGGCCCATCCTTAGTGAAACAGTTGCACTTTTGTTGTACTTTATCGCATCAAAAGGTGTCAGAATGCCTCATAAGATTAATTCTTGTTAAGTGTATTGATATTTTGCACAACAATACTTACGTCATAAAGAATTATGATGTCCGTCTCACCCTATCTTCACTCTAGTGATGAAATTCTAAGCATGTTATTCTAATATTTAATGTTCCCACATTACTTTAGTCTTCGCACAGGGTATCGTCTCAGAGAGCTTAACAGTGACGGAGCTTGATGTCGAGCCATGGGGAGGTCACCATAATCTTCAGGTGTGATCTGACGAGGGGGAAGGAGGGAGAGAATTCCAAAATTTGGGGGCTTAGCGGAGGGGATGAAGGAAAAGCAGGAGGCTCTAGTCAGCCAAATGGAGGCAGCAGATAAGAGTAGTAAGCGTGTCAGAGAGGTGCCAGGCTATAAAGTGATTTGAAAGTGTGAGGAACTTGAAGGGAGCCAGGATCTTTGCAAGGACTGAAGTTTTGTGTGAGCGAGGCAGAACGGGGCACACATTTTGTGGCAGCAAAATCCCATAAGGTAACGTGGGGTGAAGTTCATCAGGAAGTCTGTCGGTCAGGACACTGGGAGGAATCCCCCACCCCGCCCCCCACACACCCACAAACACTCACACTCTTTTCAAACTGCAAGTTGTTGTTCAACAAATCACAACACAACAATCATTTAACATCCTGCAGAGGACAGGGAGACATTCCTCTCTCATTCTTGGCTTGTTATTTTTCCTCTACCATGATTATTTTAAGAGCTTCCCAGGTACCTGTATTCTATGTGCAGATTTTAGAGATAATGAATGGAAAATAATATAATCATCCTAAGAATCTGTTGAACTACAATATCATGAGCAGTTTATTAACATTGTAGTAGCACCATCTAATGGACAGGTTGTAGATGACAGTGCAGTTGTACATGCTGCAATTTCTGAACTGACTAGGTTAAAAAAAGGTTAACTGGTGGTGCAAAAGACCATAGTCCCCAATTCAGGAAGGACCTGCAAATAGAATCTAGGGCTCCCCATATTTTGTTGAGATTTTTATTCTGAATATACATGGTGCAACTGGTAGGCTTTTAGGCAGGTTGTTGGTGCATGGTTGTGGTTGAACAATTATTTATTATAACAATCCTTGCATTTATCACACCGTCAAAATGCCTCAAAGCGCTGCACAGAATATACTGCAAAGTGATGTGGCTGGGTGTATTTTGTGGGCGAATGCGGAAGCCAATTTGTGTACAGCAATGACACACAAACAGCCATTGAGTGATTTGTTTTGGTCATCCGGGCATCTGACACATGCGGAAACCCATCACCACGCTGAAGAGTATTCAAACTACGCTGAAATTTCCATGTATTCCACCTACACATGGAAATCCCAGAGATAGATTGTTGAAATGGAATGCGCTCTCTCTCCCTGGAGGGCAGTATCCTGCTTATCTAATTCCGGAAAGTATTAGGCGAAGGTTGGCAAGAGGCAGGACATGGGGACCCAAGATTGTGTGTTGGGGTACTGCTTTTGTCTAATCAGCTAAAACCACATAGCTTGCCGTTGATATTACTATCTGGCAAGCTTTCCTGCTGCTTTCCCAGCTAGGACCACCCTACTCGTTAACGCTTTGGCTTACAGGTTAACAGGAACTGAGTGAGATGAGACCCTGCCCTCAGTGACGGGTCTGCCCTTCCAGATCCTGCCGATAAGCTAGGCTGTGCTGTCATCAGCAGTGCCCTGGAATACTACGGACCCGCCTGGCTCAGGAACCAGACTACCGAGACCCCCACAGAGAGGGCTGGCTCGATTCTGACATTCCATTGCCAAGCATGTCACCTTGGAGCCAGTTCAGCTTTAAGCAGGCCCCGCTTCCACATATACATTAAGTAAGTGACCAATTTAATTTGGGGGATTGTTGGCCGGGAGAAACTCACTTCTCTTTTTCAATAGGGTCATGGGATTTTTAATGTCAGCCTGGACAGGCAGATAGAAATTCATTTTTTTAAAGGTCAGCCGAAGGACAGCTTCTCCAACAATGCAACATATCCCCTGCACTATAGCGGTACATAGTCACATAGCTTAGACTATGTGGGCTCCAACTCCAGGCATGGAATTTGAATCCACAGCCTTCTGGGGGTTAGGGGGAATCGGTGTGTGCCAAAGTTCAGCACAAATTGAACCTTTCCTTTTTAATGAATATACGCCTTTGTATATAAAATCTTTGGCCATGTACAATTAAAACAAAGTAAACTTTTATTTGCCGTAATTCTTTCCCACAGTGGAAATGCATGGAAATCTGATATGCCATTTGTACACACAGCCAATTTACTTATCAAATTACTTATTAAATTACTGATAATGGATTTCAAGTCAGCACAGTGCAATTATATTCATGAAAGAGAAATGGAGCAGAAATCTGGAGCAAAATGTCTGCAAGAGCATCAGAAGTTAAATTGTAAGTTTAACGAGGCTCCCAAATCATTGAGTGAGTAAATGCAATTTACACACTAGGAAGGATCCAGTTTTGATCCTTTGTGCTCAGTTAGGCTCCCCCTCATCAGGAGATTGGAATCGGTTCCTTGTATATTGCCAGCTTCAGACAACAGAAAAGGTCCCAGCAATTGATTTGGATGGTTTTTGTTTCCCATGTTTCACAATATCACATAGAGTGCCATATTGGTAGCCCTCCTGTTCAGTCATAAGAGGGAAAGATATTTTATAAATGAAGGGAGTTTCAGACACCCTTATTATTCATCAAGAATGTCGGAAATCGGATTAACTGAAGACAAGAGATTGCCTGGAGTTTGAGAAAGTGCACCTTTTTAGCCCACATTGAAACCTGATGAAGTGTTTTCCAAGTAATCCCTGTCAAGTGCAGCGATTGATTTCATAGGCGAATGCAGGAACGATTTGTACAAGGTAAGGCCTCACAAACAGCTATAATAATAATCCTAGCATTTGGTTTCGCACCTTTCCTGTCGAGGACATTTCAAAGCACTTCACAGGATTTACTGTGAAGTGAAATGACTTGTGTTGTTGTAGACGAACGCAGCAGCCCCTTTGCGCATAGCATTGTCCCACAGACATCCATGAAATGAATGACCGATTTTATTTGAGGATTGCAGGCTCTCTTTTTCAAATAGTGCCAACGGGATCTTTAACATCCACCTGAACAGGCAGGCACAACCTCAGTTTAATGCAGCAAACAATGCAGCCCACCATCAGCACTGCACTGGAGTATCTGCCTAGACTATATGAATTCAAAGGTCCAATATGTGGGGCGTGAACCCACAATCTTTTGACTCAGAGACGAGAGTGCTACCTACTGAGTCAGGCTGACTAACCCATGAGGTGAATGAGCAATTATTTTCAAGGATTGCTGGCCAGGAAAATGGGAGTTCTGGCCAACGATCTCCCCAAATAAAAATTGCTCATTCTCCTCCAGTTTCTTGTTCTAATGTTTTGGGATGGAGAAATTAAAATTCATCTATCTCTGCCTGGCTATCTCTGCTTAAATGGTTCAGATTTGAAGCTATTTATTTCAAATATTTTGTTCAGTATAAACACAAAGTAGTTTCAGATTAAAATAAAAAAAACTTTAATTACAATGTCCAGCCTACAGTTTGGCCATTTTAAGCTATTAACTGCAATAAAAATATTTCCAGTGTGAAGCAATAAAATACATAAGCAGGTAGTTTGCCTTTTACACTACAGCAGGAGGCAATTTTAAACAACAGAAATTTCTAATTTCCATGATGGCATCTTAAAAACATAATTGGGTCACTTCTTTATGAGATAAAGCAATGATGAGCGATTAGTCCTTTTTTTTCTCTGAGCCTGAAGTGTCAGAAGATGTGGATGAGTCCCCTCTGTTTGATGGTCTTTCAGACCAGTTCATATCCCCTTCCAGTGCATGGTACCGCTGTAGTTCGAGATACGTGGTGAACAACTTGGCATATTCTGGATGTTTCAAAGAAAAATCACGAAATACATCTAGGAATAAAAACGTGTTATTAGACTATGATTACTTTAAATGCTGAGCACAAATTTATCTGAAAAACGTTTAACCTTTCAATTCTTCAAAACTCCATTTCATTTAAAATTAGGTAGGGTGTTTATTCACCATCCTTTAAAAACAAGTGAATTTCCACACACACACACACACACACACACACCATCCGTTGGCTGAGGAGGACGGTTTAAGGTTGTCACTTGCTTAGATATAACTATCCCGACACTATTTGGAAAGAGAAGGGAGTTTGCTCAGATTTTAACTGGTTATTCACCTCATGTGGTTATGTGGAACCATGCTGCTTACAAATGTGATCATTACATATTGAAGTAATTACCGTGCAGAGTTTTAAGATGTTTCAATATAAGGTGCTATGAAAATGTAACCTCTTTCTTCTCAGATGATTTCTTTCTACTAAATACATAGAAGCTCAAAGAACAAAATTCGGTATCTCATTATCTCATTGACTAACTGAGATTTACCCACCATAGGAAACCTTTCCCTCTTCCATTCCAACGATCTCTGAGAACAGCTTAGAAACATCAAGGTCAGCCACACCCAAAGCAGATCGTAGGAGACTGCTGAACTCATTTTCAGTTATATATCCATCTTCATCCAGGTCAAATAGCTGTGGAATGAATAAAGAAACTTTTTTTAAAAAATGTTATGTGCATTGTAAATAATACTTCTTGGAATGTCAAATATTCCTCTCAAAATTGAGGGGCAAGGATTTGGTTCTGTAGGGAACTAAAGTCTTCATTCTGTGGAGAAGTCATTGCAGGCTACATCTCAACATTAGAAATATCTTAGTCAATCCTTGGAATGGCTTACGCCAAACAAGTTCCTCCAGTATCGTATGTACTATTTGCTTAAAAAATAAATAATAATAATCCTTGCATTTGATATACAGCGTTATTATGTTTTTGAGACCTCTTAAAGCACTTCACAGAATATACCGTAAATATACAGTCTCTACATTTTAAAGTGAAATTCTGTGAAGTGCTTTGTTCAGGTGATATAAGGTACTTTACCAAATTTAAGGAATATAAATACTTTTTAAAAATGTAATAATGTATTCAATATTCACCTAAGATTGAAAGTTAATTAAATCCAATCATATCGCAACACTTTCAAAATGTATAAAGGACAGTCAATCCGTTATTTATTCACTGAAATAAATGCTATATCTCACAGCTTGGCATTATGAGTAGATGTTTTACCTTAAATGCAAACTTAAGCGTATCCTCTGTGTTGGCAGGTGTGCAAAGAACCGTCAAACCTATGACATATTCTCTGAAGTCAATGCTCCCATTGTCATCCTACAAGAAACACAAAAAAGTCACCTATTTTGCAATTCTTATGAATCGGCATGACATACATTTGGTTCCTTTTGTTAATGAATCATGTGAGGGAAAAAGATATCGCTTAATTTTAAAACTCGATGTTTAAAAGTTGAAGGTGTTTCTTTCGAAATAAAAAAACCCTTACCCGATCAAAAAGAGCAAACAGTTCCCGAAGTGCACCTGTGACTGGAAGTTTCAGATGGCTGGCAAATTCTTCAATACCAATTTTTCCACCCTTTGTTTTATTGGCAATTATGGCAAAGCTGTCCAGCTGTTTCCTTATGTTGTCCCATTTCAAACTGCAGGTTAAAGACAAAGGTAAAATAAACAACAACAACAACAACAAATTGCATTTATATTGTGCCTCTTACATCAGGGAGACTTCCCAAGGTGCTGAAAACACAATTTACTTTTATGTTGAGGATACATTTATTCTCATTTCTAATTAAAGAAGGATGAAGGATCAAGTTATTTTTTTTTGGGGGGAAGAGGTGAGAGCTGGTGTGGCTTAGAGAGAATAAAATAGACATAAAGCCATGGGAAAGAATCTCCAAAGTGGATTATGAGGTGGATGTCAACAACAGCAACGTGCATATAGCGCCCTTCAAGTGGGCAGTGTCTGAATGTTTAACGGTGATAAAATTAATAATCTTTGCATTTGATACAGCGCCTTTCACGTCTTCTAGACGTCTCAAAGCGCTTCACAGAATATACTGTAAAGTGAATCGACTGTATATTTATGGGCGAAACACGGCAGCCAATTGCACACAGCAGTGTCCCAGCTTGTGGAGTGAGGAAACTTGCCTAAGCTTTCACCCTGCCGGAAATCGAACCCAGGTCTCTCGCTTGTGAGGCGAGGGCTCTAACCACTGAGCTACAGGACTCTACTTGATAGTTTGATGTCGAAACAGGGAGAGAGGAGAGATAATCGTGGTCTGGCAGGTTTACCTACAAAATAGTCTACACTTTATAGTAAGCCCCGTGAAGCACTTTGAGTATCTGCCTGATGTGAAAGGTGCTAGATCAAATATTATCATCAACAAAACCTGGCTATGGATTTTCATGGCTCTATCAGGCTCATCACCTTGGAACCAGATCAACCTCAGGAAAGCCCAGTTTACTAACTGTATTTAAACACTGATCGAATCTTACCAATATTTTGCATTTCACCCCAAAACATTTTCCTAAAGAAAGGTTAACATACTTCAGCTTTCTGCTAATTTTGGTAAACTCCACCAAGCCGGCTTCCATGGGCAAAGTCAGTTCACCCGCAGAAATCATCAACCTGCAATCTTCAAATGTGTGATCTGTAACTGGCAACTCCAAATGTCTAAAGAAGGCAAGATACATTGGAGATAAATCATTCAACTTACTAAAAATACACTCATTTACCAGCACATTACAAATTGCAAAAGCATGATCTTATCAGTTCCTCTTGAAAATATATACTGAAATATAAAGGAAGTCTATTTTGTAATCAATGTTAACTTCAAGGTAAAGATCCAAATTATTCTCGCTGGCAAAATGAATATCTTCAAAGTGGAAAGACAGGTTATTGATGAAAATACAGAATTTATTTTTTTCCTTCTACAAATATCCCTTTATAGAAGCAAACTGCAAATATGAAAGATGAAAAAGGAACCCAATATTTATGTTTGATGCAACAGGATGAGGTTGTTCAGAGTTACCTACGTGGCCATTGTAGCTCGGACTCTGTTTGCAAACATGAAACAGTCCTTTATTTCGGCCTGAGTTGGCACATGAACAGGCAAAAACTGCAAAGACCAAGAAGAATTTTATTAGCAGTACAGTACAACATAGCCATCTGAGTCCAATTGATAGTCTCAAAGCGCTTCACATTAATAACTACTAAGGTGTAGGTGAACAGGCAGCACATGAGGGCACAGGAAGGTCCGACAAAAAAACATGAGATGAATGATTGATTTATCTGGATGACTCAGAGAAACTCCCTTGGAGCAGACGTCAAGGGTTCTCTGATCTGTGAAATACTCCAAAACACCATAGTGACACACTCCCCTTTATGATAGAACTCAAATCGGTAGAGAGAGAAAGAGGAAGAGAAGGCAACAACGGAAATTACATTTAACTAGAACACAAACCTAGTTACTTCAGCTCAATTCTTTTTCTCTCCTGCAATTCCCTTCACTTTGTATTTTTTTACTTAGATCTGAGCATACGGAAATCCATTTAATTTTTCATAAATATCGGCACTTACAGGCGTAATGGTGCAGCAGTAGATATTTCAGAAATGATTCTATTTGTTTCCCCACCCCTTTCCTCTTTATTTGAAATGGATTTATGTAGGCAAAAGCCAAACGAATCCCAAATGAAGTGGAGCAGAAACTTCAATGAGGGACTCAACTGACAGTACGAAACCAACAAGAACAGGAGTGAGCTATTCAGAGTGCTGAGCCTGCTCCTCCATTTTATTAAATTGACTTATACTTTGCTGCTATACTCTCTCTCCCACTTCTTCCTCCATCCACTTTCAGGTACATTTTCAGCACATCACAAACAGGAGCCAGCACTTCAAAATGCTTGGATGTCAATTCTCTGAGCCTTGACACAAAGTGAGGTATAAAGCACCATTTGCACTAAAGACTAATAATGGGTTAATTTTTCATGTTTAAACAAATGATGAAACTTGAACAGTTTATAGTGCAAGAGTGTCCAGTGGTTGCAGTCTGCGGTAGTAGCCTGGTTGTGTTCGAGTTCAGTGAATTTCCTGCCTGGTTTCTCAAAACCAGTGGAGAGGATGTTGAAGGGTTTTTGTAAACAAAAAGTCCCCAAAAGGTGAACTACTCAAAACTCCTCAACAGCTGTCCAACCTTCCATTCCATGTCACTCAGTGTCAAATAGTTTCATTTTTTCCCAAAGAGGTTCAGTATCATTTCCAAACTGCAATTAACTGATCCGTAGTGACTTTATAGCAGGTATTAATCCAAAGATTTTTCTTTCACAAAAGCAGTTACTTTATCAGACAGTGTATTGCTGTATTGCTGGAGGAGGAGGAGGAGGAGGAGGAGGGGGAAAATCAAGGTCAAATTATGCTAAAGACATATGAATTCTGTACTCACAAAAAGTTATTAAATAACCTCTCTGTATTTGCAATGTCAATCTCTGAGCATTTTAGAAATATGGATCACATCTCAATCATTTTAGCCATTAAAACATCCAGTTCAGAGTCTCTCTTCATAACCGAGCCCTAAATTAGAAATTCAACATTTAACTAATCCACATCTAGCATCTTGGCATCGCAATATGGTCGCTTTACCTCAATTTCTGCCTTTGTGGAGAGCTGACATAACGTGAGGAAGAACAGCTTTCTCCTGCAAGAAAAATCGGTACCATTTGAAAAATAAATTGAAAGAATTATTCCAGATTATTAATTTTTCAGTTTCACTCTTATTTTGCTGGGTCAGTCCAATGGTTTGCAAAACATGATCAACACAGGATATTGTGATTTCCCACATGGCAAGATCCCAAATGTTTGCCTGGGCTATAAGGTGGAAATAGGAAAAGGCAGCTTCCTCTCACAAATCTGCTCAATTATATCCTTCTTAGCAAGTTCCAAAATCAACATCACTTAGTTTTTTGATGCTAAGATTTTATAGACTAATTTGAATGCAGATGTGTGATTCTGCCGAACTGATCCTAGTAACAAACTGAAGACACTTATCAATTGCAGGTCCTTTTTTTTTTGCATTTATTCTGATTGTACGTTATAGACAAGGGACTTTCTGCATTCTGGTCTCTGTGTTTCACTTTACGGCCCCAAAAGAAAGATAAGAAGCAAGTTTTTTTTGTATTTTTCTGGAGAGAAGTTACATATATTGTGATTAATCTTCAAATTCTTACACTTGTCTGATTCCTCAGGCAAATGTGAGTGGCTGCACTGTTCAGTAACATGAGCAAGTTTCCACAGGATGTAAGATGCTTGATAAAGAATTAACTGCATCAACCAATTTAATGTGGAAGTTTATCTGATAAACAGAACATCTCAAATAATCTCCCGTTTTTATAACTTCAACCAATTTGTGACTTCCAAAAAAGTTACTGAAATCTGTAACGAATTTTTTATCAAAAAGGACAAGAGCTGTTAATTAACTGCTCCAATTACAACTAATCCTTGCATTTGATATAGTATCTTATCACGTCGCTGAGACATCTCAAAGCACTTCACAGAATATACTGCCTGAGGTTTCACTCTGCACGGGAATCGAACCTGGGTCTTATCACTTGCGATAACCGATAAACTGCAGGACTTCTACCCTAATAGGCAGAAAAAGTGCCTATTCTGAAGTAGCCGACAATATGGTTACAGTTAGGTTGTTTTTTTTCAGATTCTTAAGAAACATTGGAGTATGTGAAGAATTTGCAAGAAAAGAACTAGATGCATGAAGAATCACCAGTTCCTATTGATAATGCTTTGCAAACAGAACTTTTAGTTTTTAAAGAAATGTTTTACCTAGCAGAAAATCGTTCTACCAGCATACCCTAAGTCTGGTTACTTCTGAGCCACTGAAATTCCAGAAATTTACAGTGGCGGATTTACAGTACAGTACTACAAAAAGAGAAACTGCAGTTTTAATACAATTTTGTGTGTGTGTTGGGAGAATGTCAGCATCACAGAATTTCATCAAGTTGTGCAAACTTGAGGACATGACCACAGTTCCCCTTTTTCTTAACCCTTTACAAAAAAATGTCCTAATTTGATATCCTATGGTTGAACAAAACATTCAGTATGTGTTTCAAAATGACTGCAGTGCTGACATTTCTACTTTATGTGATTGGGTCCACTCTTCATTACACACGGCTTCCCCTGAGGCATAATAATAATCCTAGCATTTGATATAGCGCCTCATCAAATCTTCTAGAAGTCTCAAAGCACTTCACAGAATATACTATAAAGTGAATTGACTGTATGTTTTGTGGAGAAACAGGCATATATAGTAGCCTCACTTGATCAAATTTACATTAGATTGATTGAAACCACCATTTCACATTGAATGACAGCTTTCCACAGAGAAATGTTTATGACTTTCAAATTTAGCAAAGTGGTTTTAATAATGAAAGGAACAAGTTTTTTTAATTGACATCAATATACAGCATCTTAAAAACGTGATGTGCATTTCCATAAGCTTATTTGTTATGAGCACCAGTCAGCAACTTGCCTTCTTAATTTATGGAAGAGCAAAGTAATCTCCTTGCAAGCTGCTTATTGCCATTTCAAGGAGATAAGTTTAACTGTTGCTTTCATTTGAATAAATGGCATTCAGGAACAAGGAAGTGAAATTTGCAATGATACGAGGGGAAGCAAGACATTTATAATTATGTGTATGTATAATAACTGTGTGCACTGCATGTTTTGCCCATAAAAATATAGTCAGTTCACTTTACAGTATATTCTGTGAAGCGCTTTGAGACGTCTCGAAGACGTGATAAGGCGCTATATCAAGTGCAAGGATTATTATTAATACGCTACCTTGAGATCACATCGATAGATTATAAGAGTATCAGTCTAAATATATTCCAATTTAAAAAACTTCTGGTCACCGTTTTTTTCTCATTTGAAATGTATTGCAAAGACTATCCTGGTTAATTTCCATACCTAGTGTTATGAAACAGCTGTACAATGTCTGAATTACGAGTTGAATTCTTTGCATGGGCCTCTTCCAAGCCTGAACTAGTAGCTCACAATTTCAAGCACGTTCTAATATAAATACTTCAGGAGGGTGTGTGTTCTGCAGTGCACCATCATTACCAACTCCCTTGGCATGTCTGTTCATCTCCACCTGCATTATCCCCCGTAATCTCCAAACCACAAATACTTACCCAGATCTTTTCAAAAGTTAAATCAACACAACTTGCATTTATATAGCGTCCTTCACGAGAGGTAGCATCTCAGAGCATTTAACAGGACACATCTTGAGGCTGAGCTGGGATTTATTGCTTTTGTTGTGTTTATTCCACTATTCTAAAATTCAATATTCTAAAAGTCTACAGTGAAAATTACTGAATTTAGTGTACAAAACTAGAAGTCTGTTGGATATTTAATTTATAAAAGATTGTAATCAAAATCAAAAAAGATCTTACAAGCTGTGTCCTTGCCAAGTCCAAGTAACCGTATCCTGTAAAAAGGAAAGTTTTCATAATTACTTTGACTACTTTACATTGTAATGTTTGAAAATGTTAAATGCATTATTTTCCCTGAATTAATGCTTTTGTGAGGAAAAAAAGCTCATTGTTCTCCTAAACTGGGCATTTTCAATACAATCCAAGGGCCATTTGCATTCCACTGTAGTATGAAAGGGACAATTATTCTAAAACAGTAAATGTCACTTTGACTAATTCCATTAAAAAGAGCTGGATAAAAAATTATAGAAACACTGTTAAAATAAAATGACACAAGGCAACTCACTATTCTGTTTGGATATCGGATGACCACTGGTTGCACAGGGACTCCAGGAATAAAGGCACCTGTAAATATATTAGGAACAATTAAGAGATAATGAGATAATCTTTACATCTGGTATAGCACCTATAATGTCGAGAATGCCTCAAAATGTTTTAGAAAAGTTTGTTTCAGTGAAGTCTATGTATTTGTAGTCACTGTCACACAAACAGCTGTGAATGACCAATTTTATCTGGAGGATGGTTGGTCAGCAATTTCTCCATATATTTAGATTTGTGATTTAATGGATGGGGGGTGGGTGGGTGGTGGTGGAGTTGCATAGAGTGGGAAAGAGAATACAAATGTTGAAACATCAGAAGTGGGCAGCTTTTATATTCCACCTTGTTTTATCTCTTTCTCTGATGAACAAATAAGAACGTCCTAATTAGAATACATTTTTAAAAAAATTGGAGCATTTAAAACATAGGATATTAATATGATTCTGCTGTTCCAAGAATATAAAGAAGTATCTTTATACAAGGTATGTTTATTTTAGAAAATGAAATGCATTAACTTACCTGACTTGAAAGTGATGAGGCAGGTACCATTAGTACAAGTCCCTTCTGGAAAAATGAGAAGCTTGAAAGAGAAACAATTTCACTTCAATAAAAAACTTGTTATTGAACTAAAAATCTAATTTAAATTGCTGTGCTTAGTTACAATTGTTAAAATAACAGAAAGTCCACACCTGGGGCCATTTCCCTTGTGATGTTGCACGTTTTGTAATCTCTTCGACTGTTTTCTTTTTAGAATCTGGATCAAGACGCGATACCAGCACAGGCTGAATACACCGCAAACAACCTAAAACACATTAAAATGTGCATATTTTTTCTCCCTTACTAAGATTTCAATTAAATAACATTTTGAAATTACATGGAAAGCAAGTAAGAAGATAATGGAACCAAGAGATAAAGGCTGTCATATATCTATTGTAAGAATTATTATGCCACAAGACCAAAATCTTGTGGTATAATATAGGCTATTTGAGCCCCAAAATAATGTTATTTCTCTCCTTTTAGAAACTCAAAAAACACAAAGAAACCATGATGTATAAATTAATAATGTTCAGTTGTTTCAGTTCACTGGATTAGAGACGTTACACAAAAAGAAATCATGCTAGTTCAGCAGTAGGATACACAGTCGCCTCTGCCCAGGAAGCTAAGGACCCACGTATGGGTTGCACATAAAATAAGCCACCCTGATCTTTGAGCAACAACAACTCACATTTATATAGTGCCCTTCACAAGGGTACTATATAGGGGTCCCTAATAGGGGTTGTAATCCTGGTATGTCAAAGCGGAGAGTCTTCAGATGTGATCTGAAGATGGACAAAGAGGGGTCAAAACAGAAGGACTGAGTCAGGGAATTCCAAAGCTTTGGGCCACAGTGAACAATTTTCTCACTGTGTGTGGGGTATAAACTTGACTGAGACACACCCCCCACCCCAAAACATATAGCTAACTTCAACAATTATAGCAAAGTGTAAGATTGAAACATAAAATTGAACAGTGAAAAAGATTATTTCAAACAAAAACTCACTTCCAAAGAAAGGGACATGAACATTCTCACTCCGTGAGACAATCGATGGCATCCCAGCTACAATATTCACAATTCCATCATAGAAAGATGTATGAGGAGCCACAACAAGGACAGGTGCATCCGTAGTCTTGGCTCTTTTCCCTTTCACCTTAATTTGAATGAAGCCAATACAAAACAAAAAGGCACGACCCAAGCAGGTCAAAACATATTGGATAACAGATCTGAAAATGAAACACATTAATATGAAAGATCAGCGGCAGTACGTCAACCACAGAAATCAACAACGACGACAACAAATTACATTTGAGGCACAGAAATCGGTGTTTTGATGGAGATGGGTGCAGAAGAGAGGGGAAAGGGCCCACGACTTTTTCCTATTACATTTTTATCACAAATTTATTGGTTAGCAACAGTGATATGCATGAGCATTTTTGGCTTTATAAAGGGAGCTGTGAAAGTTCCTCAAACTACGTGAAGCTGTCAAACAACTGAATGCATCAAGAACTGAGATGAAAACACAGTTTTCAGGGGAAAATATGAAGGTGCTCAATTAAAACAATCAAATAAAATAATATGCACAATGCTAATTCTGGTCATCACTCTTCATGGTTTAATCTGATAATCGTATTTCTTACATCGGCCCCTCCTAACCATATGGATTAACAAATGATAAATACAGATTGACCTACACTTCGTTGAGTTTTTTCTTTAAATCCAGGGCAGATTTCAACACCCCTCATTTAGAGTATCTTATTAACGGTTTGCTTAGAAAATGCATCAGCCTCAAGAATCAAGGCTGACACTCCAATGCAGAGCAGAGGGACTGCTTTATTGTCCTGGTCAATAATCCCCCACATAATGGTCATTCATTCATGGCTGTTTTTGTAGGATATTACTGTGCAAATTGGCTGCCCCATGTTCACCTACAAATACAGTCACTACATTAAGATGCGATTAGGCACTATACCAAATGCAAGGAACATTGTTATTTGAAAAACTACTTTGGAGAGGGAAAGAAACACTCCCATCTACATTGGAGATCATCATGATTAATGAACCATTAAGTTGTCAATTCACGTTCATACTATGTTCAGCTGTAAACAGTAAAAAAATCTAAAAGCTGTACTTTAAGAGTACAGATCCAGTCGGTGAAATTTATATTGTCATGTTAAAATGTGACATAATTGCCACATAAACAAGAAATAAATTGGTAGTTTATTATCCTTATTAATATCCTTATTTATTAACCAACAATAAATTTATAGTTTATTATCCTTAAAGGTTTATGACTGGTATTTACCATTTAAACTGTTTTAGTTGGAGAAGAGTAACTGCTCCCATGAAGCAACACGCATTAGTGTAAAATTAGGCGGTAGATGGGGTAGGCAATATGGTGTAATGTTGCTCAATTCCAAATTTCAGGGATTTACAAAGATTTACAAAGAATGTTAAAGCACGGAAACACCCTAGTGTTTATACTCCACATAAGTCTCCACCCATTCCTTACTCCCTCCCATATCTTTCTATTCCCCTCCTCCTCAAGCGAAGGTCTTGATTCCTCTAGGTCTCCTTTTCCAGGGAAATTATTTTTTTATAAGCATAACTTTTTTAGATCATAACAAATATACACTCTTACAAATAAGAATGGAACTGATTGGGAAATACATATTTATGATTAAGCAAAATCTAAAATATGGCAGATGCTGGAAACCTGAAACTAAAAAAAAAGAAGTTGCTGGGAACACTCAGCAGGTCAGGCAGCGTCTATGGAGAAAAGAAAGTGAGTCAACGTTTCGGGTAACACAACCTTTCGTTAGAACTATGATTCTTGACACATGATTAACTGGGTCTGTCATGATTAACTGGGTCACTGTTGTTTCTCTTGAAGCACTGTTAATCACTACAAATAAACCACTTTACTACTGGTGAAATGAGTATGACCAATGTAACTCAGCATGGAAACAGGTCATGTGCCAACCAGTCTGTACCAGTGTTTATACTCCACATGAATCTCCACCCATTCCACACCCTTCTATTCTTTTCTCCTACATATGCCTGACTCTTTTCTTCTTAAATGAATTGATACTTCCACATTCCCACTACCCTCAAATGAAGTCAGCATATTGACATTTAGTATAACTTTCAGCATTGAGACAATGAATTGGGACATGAATAGCACCCAGTCAAAAGAACACAAATCTATCAATTAAATATTATCCGTCACAATAAATGCCCAAACAGGTCCTTGGGCCTCAAATTCCACTAATAAAATTAGGCACAACAGGTCCTAACTAGTATAACATTTCCTACTCTGTAAACTGACATCTATACAGATATCATGACAAACAGCTCCAAACTGCTTTATATAAATACAAGATTACTAGGCCACCACGGTGGAAAAAGAACCGAAATTCCATGACCCTGTATCAACCAAGAATACTCTAAAATGGAAGAAATTGTCAAACCACTTTACGTTTTTAATATCAACAGAATTTTTTCAAAATGAGTCACGAGAAACATCCTG